AGCTCATCTATGTCAAAGAAACTGTCTTTTAGATTTTCTGTATAAGATACATTTAACTTTGTAACAACACTCAACCCAGATGTCTTAAGGATTTTTTAAGTGCCTGAAACAGAACAACCTTAGTTTTTCCATTTTATGTAACAATGCAGATTTATTTTAACACAAATGAGTAAAATTGTATTTTTCTTTTATTTAGTCTACAGACCATAATCTGGAAGTGGAAACAAACTTTCAGGCACTTTTATAAACATACATTTACGTAAATATATAGGTGTAAGGGGCTGACAAGTATTCACACCACTTATGTATTTAAAACTGACATTTCAAATGATCATTGATTATATTTGCGCAATTTGATATTCTGAAAATAAATACCCTTAATGGAAACACAAATAAGTGGAATAATCTGCCAGTGAAATTGGTCACTTTATCACTATTCAAGAATTAATCACTATTCCAGCTTCTTCAATAGTATAATGGGCCTCACTAAGCAGGCACCTGTAAGTTAGTTTTGTCTCATTTTACATGTTATAAGATATTTGCACAAGAAACTAAATATAAAATACTAGGTAAGATTTTCTGGTGTTGCAGTGTAAGAACAGAAGAAGGAAGCAGCAGGCCAGCTCTTACGGCCGCTGTGTTGTGTCCGCTGGAAGCCCAGCTGGGAGTCCTTGTTCAGGCCCATGCCCCAAAGTTTGGTCACGTCTTTGGTTGAAGAAGCCATGAGAGTGAAGCCGTAACCGCAAGCAGCCGATGAAATCTGCAACACAAGAGCAGGAGTTCTTTAAGATAACAAAAAACTAAACTAAACCACAAACTACAATGTTTTCTACTTGGATCTTGTGTGATAGATCAACAAGGTTTTCAAATCCTTCCATAAATAAAAATGTGGAAAGCGATGTGAAAATATTCTGAGCCTATCAAAAAAAAAAGTCAGTTTTCTCAAAATTGGTGACTTTCTGTTAAGCACATTTATTTTCATCATTTCAATTTGCGCAATTCTATATGGCTAATAGAAATGCAGCTAGTGATGTTTACCCGCTCTGCGGTCTCCAGGCGGTATGGAGTGTACTGATATCTGCGAGGTTTTTTCCTGCCGCTGTCCGGCACCACAAAGCTGGGGATCCCCAGTGCCCCGGTCAAGCTGAAGCCCCAAACAAACACTTTGTGGGTCGGCTTTCTGTGCTCGCCGACGTACTGGAAAACCGGCTCACTGCTCTTCTCCTGCGGTCGAGACGCCCCGCTGAGTGTCGCGTAGCCACACACACGCAGGGCCAACCGCATGTGGCGAGGGCAGAGACACGGGACAGCCATCCTGAGGAAACAAGCAGAGGGACACAAATATCATTGAAGATGTTTCATAGTAACTAAAATCAACATTCGGATATAATAAAAATGTGGAAATGTTTCAAAGTATTTTAAATTTAAAACTGCGAAATAAAATCAGCACATGGTGTCATTTTACAGTTTATATTCTTTTGTAAAAGTTAGTAAATCAATAAATCATTGATCCTGTCAAAATGGGCAATATGGAAATAAATTGTCTAAGTGATTAATGTACCAAATGTTGCATCCAAAAATGTTAATATTAAAAAAAATATATATATAATAATAATAATTTCCAGTGTGATTAAAAATGTTTATTTTACTTTTAATCTTACTCTGTTACTAATTCTCATTTTATTTAATTCATTTTTTCTTTACTGTGTTTTTTTTCTCCTTTTTTTCAATCATACCCTTATTCTTTTTTATTCAAAAATAATCAGGCTATGCTATGACATAAATATTCAGATAGATAGAGCTGTTAGCAATGAATTAATTTCCAACAGCTTTGATATATATATATATATATAATATATATATATATATATATATATATATATATATATATATATATATATATAATAAATCCTAGGTCATCCATAAATGACCTAATATTTATGGATTAAACGTATTTAACGTTTACCAAACGTTCAAGACAAACAACCAAATATAAATTAATCTACCAATGAAATATAAAGAGGTTTTTAAATAATCCATCAAGGCCGAATCATAATAAAACTACTGTTAATGCATATTTACCAGTTCAAGTTTTTCTAATGAAACTGTATTCTTGGAAACATTTAAATGAATCTTAAATTCTGAGAAAAAATTATGGGATTCCACAAACTGCTCCACGTTTTATCAAAGTAGCGTCTGGACTCACCTTCACGTTCCTTCCCAAAAAGCAATTAATTTCAAAATCTAGAGAACGTGGAGCAGATAAGACGAAGAGATATAAAACGCTTTACTGTCATTATAGTTTATTTTTAGCTAAATGAGCCAGAAAAGTACACACTTCCTTACAGTAAAATGTAATTCCATTTAGGACTCACACCGCCACCTGCTGGAACGGAGGATATACTTACTCTTTTTCTTTTCTTTCTTTTTTTTTTACATTTATTTTGTCTTTGTTTAAATATACAAATGTATAAGTAAAATTACACTGAGAGGAGCTTTATTAATTGCAGTGCTTATTCAGATTTTAAATTACTTTACTTTGCTTCTGCCTTGAAATGTTTTATTGTTTTTTGTTGTGTGTTTTTCTTTACATTTACATTTGAAACACTTTCAATTGCTGTATTGATGAAATGGTCTATGCAATGAAACTTGTCTTGCCTTGTCTTCAGTGCTTCGACTTACCATTATTTTGTTGCTTGTGCACCTGAAATTTTCTGTGGGTCAGTAAAGTATATTTCTATTCTATTCTATTCTGTTTGTTAAATAAATCATACAACTGGCCAATAGAACATATATGGAACCAGTCTGAATGTAACATACACGTAATACAAGGTTTATATCCACATCAGTGTGGTAGAAAAATAAATAACATCAACAAAATTATGCACAATTAGTGCCAAAATGGATAAAAACAAGTTTATGTGTACCAAAATTGCTTTAACAGAAATGTCAAACGAAACAAGATTAAATTTTAAAAAAATCAGTTAATAAGGAAAATCATTAGACAGAGCTATGAAAAGAGGGGGTGAGTTGTAAAAAGATGAAAAAAGTTAAAACTTAAAAAAATCATGGCATAAGTTAAAACAAAGGAAGTGAAAAGTGAACTAGAAACACTAGTGCAAAGGTGTTTTGAGTATGCAAAGTTTTAATGTAATGATACAAATGGCCACAAGAGGGCACAAAAGCAAAGATCATGAATGAAAACCAAACTGAAAACTAATTACCTCTTCAGGATTTTTATATTTTTAAAATTTCTTGATAATATCAATTACATGTCTGCATCTCAACCCACCACCTGATTGTATTTTCATACATTACATGTTTTCCCATTAAATATTTTTGCTGCACAGATGAAGACTTCTTCATTTTATTGATGTTCACAATGGACAAAAAGCAGTTCAGTGAGCACAGCTGTTTGCTTCAACTGTGCACAATCAAGCCACAATCCGCTGTGGTGCAGGATTAGAGCTGATTTGGAAACGCATTAATGCTGCAGGACAGTCGGTCAGGTGAGAGCCTGACCTTAACCTCCCGGCTCAGCTGCCCCGCATCAACAGCGGCTGAACGAGCTGCCAGGTGACTCAGGTGGAAATGCCTCACCTGAGTCAGCTCTGACGCCACTTCTGTTCCTGTCTGTGCACAGCAATACGTCACACACAGGGTGAGGTGATTCTGAAAGACCATCAGAGGGTGTGACCGAGGCGTCTAGAGCTGCAATGTGTCTGAATGTTACACGTGGTATCTGTTTATATTTTACAGTCGTCACCATTCTGGATTTGACACTTCAAAGCTTTATGATTCCCATTCAGAAACAAAAACTTATGCTGATGACATTAGATTATTGTAGGACTGCAGCTAACGGTTATTTTAACACAAGTAATTAGATAAAAAAGTGAAACCCTTAGCCAATTTTTCATTTAACCATTTATTTAAACCAATTCAGCTTCTATGCACTACAAATCTGGTGCAACAAACTTTTTTAAAACTGCAAAACAGATGAAACACAGTTCTCTTAAATAAAAAAGTCCCCCTGCTTAGAGCTGCCTTAACCGCAACACTGACGAAACATATGATTTTGATCATTAAAACCTGTTTGTCACTGATTTCCTCAATTGGTAACTGTATGATGTTTTTGATACTTTTTATTTTTGTGTTTTTAAGATGTAAAAAAGAAAATCAATCGATTCATTTACTTTTAGGATATGAAAATAAACATTTTTGTCTAAAATGCGACAACACCGCATTCTTTTAGTGAACGATTGGTCATTGGTAGCAAAGGATGCATCTGCAGCTAAAAAAATACTCGACATATGAAGAGCTCAGCCTTTTCTGCTTGACTTATCAGGACAGCGTTGGGCTGATCTGTTTATTATTTTTTGAACTAACCAATAAATAGCCAAATGCTGAAATGGATACTTTTTATTTACAAAATTAAATAAAAAGGAGGAAGCTAAAATTAAACTTGTGGAGTTTTAGGTGGGACATATGTACAGACAAAGGCTTTCTTTATTTATTTTAAATGCGCAATGTATATATTTTTGTAGAGTTTTGGTTTAATTATTGTGGTGAGTTTCTGAAAATTGCCTTTTTTTGAGCCAGTTAACAATTAATTGATTACAAAATTTTTTGACGATTACTTGAATAATTGATTGATCATGATCAATCTGATTAATTGTTTTAGCCCTAACAGCAATTCAGCATTTTATCAGCTCCCCTAACTATCCACTATCGCTATACCTCTTGTTGCAGCTGAATAAATATGCTGATGCCTGAAACAAGTAACAATTAATCTAAGCAAAAGCTAAATTGAGGTTTCATTAGTTTGCTGAATGAGCCCCCTCACATCGGCCGTCCTGTCTAAAAGCAGGTATCTGCCGAGAAGTAGCGACTCTAATCCTTTAAGAGGATAAACTGTGAGATCCAGAGGGAGGGATTCAGGATTCAACGACTGTCTACGGTGGCCTGCACAAGGCATTTCTGCCAACTTAGCAGACTGAGTGTGTGTCTGGTTGCAACCTGCTGCAGGAGTCTTTATTATTATGCCTTTATGGAGCAGGAAGGACGATGCAGGCTGAGGAAAATTCAGTGCAACATGAATCTGAGGACTGAGAGAACAGGGAGTTAAGGTGAGTTAGAGACGCTTTTAAAATAAACACTTTAGGCTCAAAAATATGCCCAGAAATTTTGCATAAAACTGGTGTTAAGTATTTCTCATATCTCTATAAACTTCAGCAACAGAAGTCATTATATTTTACTTTGCATTATAGTTTTAATACATTAAAAGATTTTTTATTTTCATGCAAAGCAGAAAAGTTCTGACAAAATTAAAAAAAATCTACATTATTTTAAAAAGTGCCTTGGAAATGTATTTATTATTAATATGTATGGTAGGGTTTTATAAGATAGACTAATAAAGCAGGAAATGGTTGTGAAATGCAAGCAAAATAATGCCTTTTAAAAAGCCTCAAGCATATTGCACAAAAAATATTCAACTCCTTTGATTCTACAGTTGAAGTATTCTGGGTTTGTCTCTGCCAGGTTTGTTCATCTGCAGAGTGAAACCTGTCACTAAAGTAACTCAGGTTCTGTCAGATTGTTCACATCAAAGTTCAAATCTTTTTTTTTTTCTATAACATTTCAGAGTTTTGGCAGGAATTTTCCCTGTAGATTTTTTTTAATCTACAATAACCTTAATACACCATTGTACATTTGTGTGGGTTAGTGTGAATGAAAAAAGATTCTGTGTGTATTACGTTAACTTTTAAAATGATGTGAAGAAAATATTTTTTTCTTCACATACAAGAAAAAATGTGAAGAAAAATGGGTGCATACAAGAATCTGATGAGGTCACAACTGACCAATTAGAGTAGAGCATTTTGAAAGCCAAAATATATATTTTAAATTTCCAAAGAAAAATAGCTATATTGTAGTCAATATTCCAAGTGAAATTTATCACCTTTTCATTAACTATATGACATCAAAACATGATAACAATATGTCTTTGTCCATGTCCAGTCTTATGTCCATCCTGACTGCCATGCCTGCATTGGAGGTGATCTGCAGCCTGATTGGCTGGCTGTGCCTCTACCTGTTGTTCTGCTCCACCTTCTCTCAGCGAGGGCCTGAGTGGAACTGCCGCCTGGTCACCTTGACCCATGGTGTCATCATAGTGCTGCTGACGGCATACGTTATGTTTGTTGACGGTCCCTGGCCCTTCACACATGCAGGTCAGCAGTGCCAAACACAGAAACTGAGATGCGATGGTTCAGTTCAAAGGCAAGCATGGTGGAACACTGATTCCCAAGCCAATTTACGGTGGTTCTCTAAACCAAATATTAAGTGGCTTTTATTAATAATGACTGATATCATTTTGAAAGTCTGATTCCCAGAAGTTCAAAAAAATACCAGAAACAATTCTGCTGCTGTTGAATCTGTAGACATGCTGAGCATGGACATAAAACAGGTTTGGTGGGTGTAACTTTGCAAAGAATAGGAGTTAAAAGTATCAACCTGTAGATCTCAATAAATGATTTGAAGACAGATGTTATTGTTTCAATAGTTTATATTCTTATAGGATTAAGATTTGATTTTCATCTTCTCTGCAGGTACAGAAAACACTGACCTCCAGACAGTAGCCCTGGCTCTCTGCCTGGGCTACTTCTTCTTTGACCTGGGTTGGTGTGTGTGCTACCGGAGCGAGGGCCCCGTCATGCTGGCGCATCACGCCGCCAGCATCGTGGGCATCCTCCTGGCGCTGCTGATGGGCGTGTCGGGCTGTGAGACCTGCGGGGTGATCTTCGGCAGCGAGATCACCAACCCGCTGCTGCAGAGCCGCTGGTTCCTCCGCCAGCTGGGCCTCTACGACAGCCTGCTGGGCGACGCCGTGGACCTGCTCTTCATCCTGCTGTTCGCCACGGTGCGCGTCGGCGTGGGGACCGTCATGTTTTACTGCGAGCTCACTTCGCCCAGGCCTTCGCTGGTAATGAAGCTTGGCGGCGTGGTCATGTATCTGCTGGCCTGGGTGTTCATGGTGGACATTGCCAGGTTCGGCTACAAGAAGACCAGAGCCAAGTACAGGAAGTGGATGGAGAACCACGAACCCAAAGGCACGAGCGAAGAGAAACCAGTTGGGCACGAGGACAAGAGCGATTGACAAGACGAACAACTGCTTTAATAGACCTCTCCAGGAATTTAGTTAGCTTTATTTTTCTTTTCTTTTTTTTTTACCTCTGCTCTACATAAACTTGTCTGACAGATATATGCTGATCTGACAGAACACCCAGTTTCTGAGCCAACTGAAGATTTACTTTCCAAAATAACTACAAACTCTGTGTTAGTTGGCTTGTTATGTGAATATTTAGCTTGCCAACTTAAGATTTAATTTGAAGATATAAATATTCAACTGCAAGCTGAATAATAAGCATGCGAACTATTGATGATAAAACAGAACTTCACTCTCAGTCTTCTGTTTGATTGCTTTTATGGTGCTAAAGGTGCTATGTTCAGCTTTGTTTGACATAAAGGTGATAAATAGTGACCTACTTTCATCACTATAAGCTTCTATTTGCCAACATTGTTTATGTCCATCTTGTGGAGTCACACTCAGTCTGACATTTAAAATATTTGCTCAAAGTTGATTCTTTATTTATTTTTTTTCTGCTTCTCAGCACATTTCAGAAGATGAAAGTGACCAAAGGGTGAAAACAAAATCTTCAGAAATCAGAACTTCAGGTTTATTCTGGGCCAGTTCACCAATTCATAGCCCTGTTTTGGACATTAACACAAACCTTTTCATACTATTCTGCTAAATGAATGCCAATACACGTTTGTAGTTTTGTTGTCATTCGAAGTGCAGCAGGTACGTTTTGAACATGCCCAGAAAATGTTGAAAAACTCACGACCGAGCCAGAGCAGAGGAGAAACTACTGTTATATTATTAAATCAATAAAAAGCAACACTTGTGGAACAGCTTAAAACAGTTTGATAATAAATCTTCTTTAAGTAGTTTGTGTCGATACATTACATGACGTCATGGTGCAAAACGAGGAACAGTGGATAAAACCACGGAGCTGATACACTTTAAGCATTTTACAATAAACATCCTTACAGTACAACATGTCTCTCCTCAGTCCGTCTTTGCTTTATCTCCGAGAAGTGAAAGCCACAGTGTTCGGCGCAGTCTTACGGCCAGTGAGTCCAACCTTTAAAAAGAAGTAATCAACCAAACACATTAGAGGGAGCCTGTAGCAAAAACAATGGAGTTTAATTAACTCCACGCAACTAAACAGGAAGTAAAGGGCGTCACTAAATATTACCAAGTTTTTGTTTGTTTGTTTGTTTTTTGGTCTAGCTTCTGGTGAAAATATCTTAGCGCACTTGAAACAAGAAAGCTAACTTACTAGTAGGCGCTTGATGTAATTAAAAAAAGCAAAACTTAATACATTATAACAAGACATTTTTTCCATGCTGTATGTTTATCTGCCATTGGAACTTGTACTTTTTAAAATCAATATTAAGGAATTATCTTAGCTTAGCCCCTTTATCTTCCTGAAAAGCTACTTTTAAGTTAGTTTTGTCTCATTTTAATTTATTTCTAGTAGAAACAAGATAAAAAAAAAATCTGGCTTGTAATATTTTATTTTGTAGTACATTACTAGGACTGCACTGATTCAGGATTCTGCTTCACCTGAATGCCTAAAACCAGCCAAGTAAATATGAGTTGCTTCCAAATGTGGAATGTTCAGAAGCTGAGACTTTTCCCGACAATATTTATAATATAAGCTAAAATGCCTAAAGTTTTCTTCCCCACTGTCACTGCATGCTTGTCCAGAAGGAGTAAATGCAATTTGCCGGGTTTTCTTACACAGAAAGGTTTTTTTTTTTAACTATTTGAATGCACTGCAAAAACATAAAATCTTACCCAATATTTTTGTCTACATCAGGGGTCTGCAACCTTTATAATCCAAAGAGCCCAGTCTGGGTAAATACCACCAAAAGAAATGTACATGTCCAGCTGCAGTGGAACAAATGATTTGTTCTCTTTTACCAACAACAGAAGAGAAATCCTACAACTGCTAAAATTTAACCCCACTCCATTTTTGTTTACATTTTGTGAAGAAGGAAGTTGTTCTCCGTGTCTTCAGAGGCTTTTGCGTCGTTTCCTTCAGTGGTTCTTGTTGCAGCGCCACCACAGGCAAGGAGGTGAGTACGCTTTTCAAAGGCAGTGTAAAAGAGAATCACAGCAGCTGAAAATGTAACAAATGTTGCAATTTTGGTCCCAATCATTCCAAATCTATCAAACTATTAGGTGTGAAAAAAAATCAGTGAAGAAATGAGGAACGTGCTGGATCAGTTAAATTAGTTCTGGAAATGGGATTTTTCATTCAAAAACCTGGAAATGTCCGTGTTTTATCATTGGTGCTCGTTGTTTGAACCATTTCCTGCCAGGAGAAACCAAACGGTGAAATGAAACATCCAAGAAATCAGAGTTTGTGTTGGACATGAAATGTTTTTCACAGTGAATCTCATTTCTGCTTAATTCAATCCACAAAAAACAGTATTTTAGTTTGTCTGCCTCCGAGTTGTTGAAAACATTTGTGGCTTGGCAGTAACATCTGAATCTCTTTATCTTGGAGGAAATATCATTACAAGACAGCACTTTTACTTCCATGCTGTTGAAGCATCCATGGAGTCCTGAACGCCTTGCCATAGCTCCCTTTTTCCATTTCATATATCCAGTGTTTACGATCAGTTGACAGTTGATTGTTTTTATAGGAAAAAGTCTCTCCAGGTAAAACATGATAATCATCCTTTGCCCATTATCATCCATTATCAGTGGGTTAAAGTGAAGTATAATTCCCTGTTTGACTCAGATCGGGTCCATGATCACTGCAGTCCCTCTGAAACAAAGCAGACAGGGTTTTTGATGACAGGTGGAGTAAAAACAGTCACATGTATGCAAAGAGAGCTGAAACCCACCGTTGTTATCATCTGAGTCTGTAGATCTGTTGTTGCGGATTTGCTGGAGTTCGTTGTACTTCGTCTCTACTTCCTGCAATAGCATAAATACAACAAAACAGCAACAGTAACGTCTGATTTCATCAACATAAACTACAGAATCCAGCATCCGACAACGCAGACGCCACATGAATTTGAAACTGGACACATTTTCTATTTCAAAATTGCAGGAGTTTTCTGGTATTTTTTAAACAAATAGGGACCAGAATGTTTGGGAAATTATATTATCTATAAAAACATTTTTTATACAGAAAGCATGTTTAATACCTTCTTAATTCAATCCATCAGATTCACTGGAACACATATTAAAATGTACTGAATTTTACTCAGTATAATAACAGTACTTTGCACCAATCTGATGGTTTAGTTACCACAACAACAAATTGAGAACAATAAATATCCTGGCTCTCATGTTTATTAATTCTAGTTACATTACATTTCATCAAAAATGACTTTTTTTTTCCAATAAAGAAAAAATATAAACAATCACATCCTATTGGTTCATTTATCAGTCTACTGAGGGCAAATCAGACTAAACTTAAACACTGCAGGTTGCTTTGCCACTAATCAGGGTTTAACAATAAATAGACATCAGTTGAAACACATTTAAAGATTTGATGGTTCCCAGGATTTCTGTTAACAATAAAAACATTTTAAAACAAACTCCAGTGTGTTTTACCTGCAGGTATTGCAGGTCAGCCTGCAGGAGGCGCAGGTGGGTCATCAACTGCCTGCTCAGATCGGGGCCGTCGCCCCCTGCCTGTGAGGAGGAGGACAGCAGTTTCCTCATGTCGATCGCGACGTCGTCGTCGGCGCTGCTCTCCCCAGAACCGACTTCAAAGTCCAGACCCGCAAAACCTCCTGGTTAAAGACGAGAGGGTTTCAGAATCTGGACCAAAACATCTAAACTTCATAAAGAGTGCATTCACATCAGTCCTGTTTAGTTCACCTAAACCCAACTCCAGTCTGTTTGTCTAGAAAGTCAGATTCGTTTTGGGAGATGTGAATGCGTAATTGAATTCTGATTTGGACAAAAACCCAAACTCTGGTCTGCCTATAAACCTCTGTCTCTGTTCGGTGGAAGTTAACTGGTGTGTTTTGAATGCCAATGTGAACGCCAAGTGGACCGGAGTCCGACCCAAAAGCAGGAAGTGCACTACAGCGCAGGGCTGCAGTAAATACAACCAAAAGAGGGTCTTAGTGCAATCATTAAACTTTGTGAATGCACTACTAAATATGCTAATGACAGAGGAACAACTTACCGTTACGGGAAAATTATATTTTTCGCCATCATCGGTGGCTATGCTAACTAGCCTTAGGCTCTGCTGACAGTGTGAACACCAGATTAAGATTAAGGCTCTGATTGGTGGTTTCTAGTTTGCACCAGGATGCTTGAGAGAAGGAAGAGGAGCTCGATTTTGACACTTTTCAATAAAACTTTGCATTGAAAGGGTTATCATTTACCGAATGACACTTTATGACAACAGTTGTAAACATTGATGAAGACTCCTTCATATTCATGCACATTTCATGTTTATGACAGTGTCACGTCAGTCTTATGCACACCCCTTCAAATAAAGTGTTACCAAAAAAAGACTCTGGGTCGCAAAGAATTTGGTTCCTCTGAGAAAAATAACTACAGCAGCTAAAAATGTATCAAATGTTTGAACTTTGGTCTCCAAATTTGACCAGGCCTATCATACTACCAGGTGTAAAAACAGCTTGAATGGCTGACTCACCGTTCGGTTGTGCTGACTCAGACACCCCAGTGAGGGCAGAGGAGATCTGCAGGTTGTCATTCTCTGGTCCTGCAGAAGACGGTTTGTTCTCCTCTGTATCCTCCTCTACTTCCCTGTTCATCATGTGGGAATAAAGTGTCTCCTTCAGAATGGCCACTGCAACAGAAGACTTCAGTTATTATCCACTGGCTTTTCCAGCGTTTGGACTTTAAAGGATCGCCGTCGGCTTACGCGTCCGCAGAGCCTCTTCAGCTTTGGAGGAGGGAAAGTTTGACTCCGTGTCCTCAACTGGAAAAGCGATGCCCTGGCGGGATCCTTCCTGTAGGAGACTGTCAGTCAGCTGGCTGTCCAGGAAGGCCTCTAACTCGGCTTCGTCCACCTCCTCTTCCTCCCCATCTTCCTCCTGCCTGACTGGAGCTGCCAGCTCCTCTTCCTCATCTTCTGATTTCAAGCCATCAAAGGGGTTGATGGGAGATTCAATATGAGGAGAACATGGAGCGTCTTTATCTACGACATAGAACAAAACTATTTTGAAGCTCTTAATAAAATAGTAATTAATTTGTTATAATAATATAGAACAAACTTTTTGCCATGGGAATCAAAACTGGCAGATTTAAACTCCTGGTGGGCCACACAATTCTTTAGATTAGAAATGCAAAAATGTATTTACTTTGATATAAAAATCTTTTAAAACCACTTCTGACCCAAAAGGCTGTCATTGTAACTAATAGAAAAATTTGACTACAGTAGCCAACATTCAACCCAGAGAGGGCAGCAGTGAGTTGGTTTTAGGCCAAATATTCTAATTAAACAAAACTGTCATAAAGATGGCACCTTTATGACCCAACTTATACAGTTCATCTACAAAACAGTTCAGTGAAATTAGTCTTTAAAGAACTAACTTCTAGATAAGGGATCTGTAACTTGCGGCTCTTCATAACTTCACCCAAAACTGGTAAAGAATTTAGCAATATTTTAAAATGTAAAGGTAATTAAGCTAAAAATGATTTCTTTAACAGTTTTTCCTGTTTTAATGCAATATATGCATTTTTTTCTAAATAATGACACTAATAAAGTGTAATTCTTTATTTCATGAAATTAATGTTAAACCACAAAACAAAGATAAAGTTGTTTAAAAATCTGAGCAAATTGCTTATAGTGTATATTATAAAAACAAGTTATTCTTTCTGGAGGAGTCATGTTGCTTTTGGGTAATTAAAATATCATAAATAAAAAGGAATTTGTGACACTTGAATACCTCGGCGCAATGAAGAGCATTTAATTTCCTAAACACTGATTGGCTGAAGAGTGGAAATAAGGATGATTGTGGATGTTTGCTTCTGTGGTAGCTAACATATTGATGCCTATTGAGATATAGAGTATATTTGTTGTTTGCACTATGAAAATAGTCATTTATTTTTTATTTCTACCACAGAAATTGGATATATATTAATGCAGATTCCAATTGATAAGTTTAAATCTAATAATAAAGTGTTAAAACTGAATGGTTTCTTTTCTTCCATTAACAGATACCTGCTGAATGTATGCTCTCAGTCAGCGTCTCGCTCTGTTTGGGCATCTCTTGGTTCAGGATCTCGACTGCAACCCGTTCGGCTCTGAAACAAAACAAAACAAAACAAAAACACACTGAGCAGAGACAAACAAACATCACCATGGAGAACTGAGGCGGAGTCAGTGGACTCACTCTGCCTGAGCTGGAGGCCTGTCGCTGGGGTGAGCTTTGGCCTTCATGGCGTCAGCGCACTGCGTGATCAGACACTGCCACCTGGATGAGCAGAAGCGAACCACATCCAGGTGAGATAGAAAACCTTTAAAAGTGAAGTTTTGTCTAAGATTAAAACTCACGTTCTTCTGTCGGACACCTTTTGCGCCATTAGCTCATACATCTGGACTCCGTTCTCTGACATGGACAGGACAAAGAAGGCCTTGTTGTCTGAAGAGGACAGCCGGTCAGTCAGTTATTTTTCTTCTAAAATTAAAATTGTGCTACCTGTAATTGGTTGAAAATCTGCATTTTTGAATTATGTTTTCAGGGACAAAAATACAGTTGGCAGGAAAATGTTCTGGTTCCTTGAGCATTCTTACAGACGTACTGTAGACATTCTACAGTACTGATATATACATATCAGTGTATATCTACTGATATATACATATCGGTACTTTATCTGTATACATATGCTACCAATAGCATTCTCCAGGAGCGCTGCAGACTCCTCTGCACCGTGAGTAACCAAAGCCATTTGCTATGTTGAATTTGTAACATAGTTTGCAAAGCTGAGCTTGAAAATTTGAGTCAAAAAAAAAAACAATTGAAATGTCTCCCAAAGTCTGATTTACCACTTAGAAAGTCTGAGATTTTGTGAAACCTTGAGATCCAATATGGCCACTCCTTCAATCAACAATTGTTATCTGAGGTGGAAACATCTTTATTTAACCAGACAGACTTGTAAGAGAAATTAATGTTACATGAATCACATACAACTATAAACTAAACCAGTGGTAGGACTCCAAAAAATATATTTTACTCGAGTTAATTGAGTTACGTCTGTAATTAAGGGATTGCAATTAATTGTATATTAATAGACAAAACAAACATTTTCAATTCAAAATCATGTTTTGTTACAATAATTTTTAATAAATAGAGATTAACTCAACTTCAGAGATATTTAATGTTGTTAACCTGTTATTTACGTTTTTTAACCACAACCTTACCGGTTGCTACAGGGCGAACCAGGACAGTGCTGAGCTTGATGACGGGGCTGAAACTATGCTTGGCGTCCGGAATGCTGGTCAGGTTCTTCCCATGGAACTTGAGAACCAAACGCTCATCTTGTTTCTGAAGTAGAACCATGATGTCCTCCAAAAGAAGTGTGTAGAGCTCTGAAAGAATGTCATGAAAACTCATTTGCATTTTTAGAATATTCTTTCTTCTTTGACCACTAATTTGAACACACATAAATCTAACTAAAGCTGTATTTTCATTTAAGGCTGTTTATATTTACCAATGGTCTTGTCCTTATTGACTTTCCAGGAGAGCGGTCCCTCATATACCATCGCCCTCTTAGTCAAGTCCAGATTCTGCAACAAGAAAAGTTCATAGCAAATGCTTTCATTGACAATTAACTGATAAAATACATCTACAACATCTACAACAGTGGATCTTCAATTGTTTCTCTAGTCTAGTTCATATTTGAAATGGAATGCTGCTTCACAAATTAGCAATAACAAAAGTCTCTTTTTCACTGTATATTGTTGAAAGTTTTTCAGTGTAAACAAATGCACCTAATTAAGGTTTCAATGTCACCGATGTATTTAAAAAAACCGTAGGCATGGCGAGTCGGGTGTTTGGTTGATGTATCAGTGCCTTGATAAAATAAGCTAATTGAACAATTGGGAAGATGACACAAAAAAAATCTGGAATAAATGGTGAAGAAATCCCAGATTATTCATTGTGAATACAATGGGCATGTTTCAGCTGTCAGTCACTCTTTGTTGATTGAAAAATGGACCCCAATGACAATATGTACTGGAACTCCAGAAAGATAGAGCCTGGTGGAACTTCAAAAGTAAATGGAGACTGATGATATAAAACAGGCCTGTTTTGGAGTAAAAACAACAAAAATAGTCTTATGACTAAAATCCATCAATGTTTGGACCTTTTTTCATCCAGCAATCGTTTCTCACCCTGAGCTCCAGGATCATGGGGTTTTCACTTTGTTTCAGAGATGAGACGTCAAGTCTTCGCTGATACTCCACGAGTCTCTGTTGAGACAAAACAGAACTCATTAAGTTACACTAGTAAATCAAATTTATTTTTGCCAAATCGTGGGACAGTTTTTTTTATTATTATTTATTGTATTTTCTTCAAATTAAATCATGATATTTTCTTTTCATCTTTCATTTAATTACTTCCTTGTATATATTTTGTCTTAAAAAATGTACATATGTATTTTTCTTATTAATGTGAAACAATTAGAGAAACATAAATGAAGTTAATCTGGGATGAAATGACTACGAAGCACAAATAACACCCAACCAGTACAAGTAAAGTAAAAGAAAGAAGTGATTCAATGAAACCCATATTAACCACATAGTTTAATTAATGTGAAGATATGACTTCTACTTTGAAAACGGTGATGAATGACAAATAGATTAAAACCCCTGCTGATTAATGAAAATGTTTCATGAATATTCTGATGTGTTAACCTGTTTGTTTTCAGCCTCTTTCACGGCCTGGTTGACGTGGTTCAGGATCTTCTTGCAGCATTCTCCAGCTTTCTTCACCTTTTCCCTCTCTTCACCATCCTCTGTGAAAACAGACAAAATAACTGCAAAGAAAGAACCAAAAAGTTCAAGTTCCCCTTTTAGAATATATATGTAATCATTTATACCAGAGTATTTGGCAATATTGTCCAGTAGGAGCGGGTACTTTGTCATTCTTTGCATTTCTACAGGGATGATGTCTTTTAGCTGCAGCCTGCGACACAAGCGGTTGCTCTCAGCTTCCTGAAAATCCAAGATTGGTAAAAATATCTTTTAAAAAATTGATAGAATAATATTTTGTTTAATCAGAAATAAACCCAGCATCCAAGGAAACCACTGTGGTGATGATGTGGTACTGACCTGCATGAATAGGTTGAACCTCTGGTCTTTTTTCTGCCTGGTCTTGATGAGCTCCAGCGCAGACGGCTGGTTGCTGCAGAACATTCCTATGGCTCTCTTTATTTTCTCCTCTTCCTCGCTGAACTAAAGCACATTTATATTCAAATCATTTAATGTTGCTGCATTTCATGACACAAAATACCATCATTTTTTCATGGGAATCTTAAATGTTTCAACTGAAACTGAAAAAAAATAAAGTAGGTCAAAGTTACTTTCATGGAGTTTGATGTTACTGTTTGAGTTTGATGTTACTTTTTTCAATCAATCAACTATGTCTACTGAAGTCACTTTTTAAGAAATGAAAGGATGCTTTCTAGATGCTACTGTTCTAAACTTATACAATGTTTCCAGTGAGGTTGAACTGAAATTAAAGAAAAAAACAGAAATGAATAAAAACAATTATTAATCAGAAAAAACTATATTGTGCATTAATAAAACTAGTGCACAATATTCTTCGTTTTTGTGTTTAAAAATCTATTTATTATCCGTCTGGCTTTTTCTGGAGCAGAACTATGACTCACATCTCACACAAATGACATAAAAGTCTGATAAAATTTGGAAAATTATCCAAAATGTATCAGATTTAATTCCACATATGGAAAAGGCACAAATATGATATTCTGTTGTTTTCTGTTTTGTTTTGTTTTTTTGTTTTTGGAAAAAAAAAAAAAAAGTCACGTTTACCAGCTGGGTGAATATTCTATATGTGTTCAGGTGTGAAACAGCACTTTATTTGTTTGGTCTGAACCAAATGGGCTGAACCGAATATGAATTTTATGTACTGCTACATTCCTAGTATTTATAGTAAATTCTAATTATTACTAGTTGTCTTTGAAAAGGTTTTCAAAAGACCAGGAAAGTAAAAAGTATTACTGTGATAATGTGAATTATTAGAAAATATGTTCTAGTAAAATCTAAACAAATTCAAAGCTCAAGTTAGGATTTTGTGGTAATATGCAGTGTCTGAGATTTCTGCGCATTTTACACAGAAAGCACTCTGAAAATAGAGTGGGACTCTTTGTTTTTGATAGAAAGAGTCTTACCCAGGCCAGGAGATCATCTCCAATCTGACCAATCACAGAGGTCTCACTCCTCTTCCTGATGGCGGTCATTTGCTCTGTTATTGAAACTATCAAACAGTGTGAGACCTCATTGTTACTGGTAACATCTTTATCAGCAGGAAATACACAAACTGCACAATACGTGGTCAAATTTGGCTGTAACAACTGGACTTTGTAAAGGTTTTGAATGTTTCTTAGCAAGTAAAGTTGTTGAATTGAGCCGTCTGTCACCAGGAAGCCTCTAATGCAATACAGTGACATTACCATGCAGTTGAATGATTTCCTCCAGGTTAGTGAAGATGTGCTTTATGACGTCAGGTGGGAGGATGCCGTGTCTGCTCAGTCTCTGGCAGAAGACATCGTCCAGCACCCGCAGCTTACGCAGGTGAGCGCGCTCAGTGATGAACAGCTCTAAAAGATGGCGGCATGAACTCAGTCAGGTTTGGAAATGAACACGATGCATTTCGGATGGTTCAGTATTAGAGATGCACCAATATGAACATGTGGACACAGTATGAATAGGAAGTGGGAGTAAATAAGTTTGTCTACTTCCCATCTGTTTTCAAGCTAAATGCAGTTTTGTTTATGACCATTTTGTGAAAAAACAAACCCCCTGTAGAAACACAACAGCAACAAGGTGGAAATAAACATCAGTTTTTAATATTGGTCTGGTTTTACTGATGCCGATATGTTAAAAAAAACTTACTAACATTGCCTAATTCTAATGTTAATGATGCTTTATGGTGCTGTTGCCTCACCATTGATGACTTCCTGCCGTTTGATCTCCTTTGAAGTGAGACCTGCCAAGACGCCTTGAGGGACGAGTTTCTGCCAGTTCAGAGGATCTTCCTCTCTCTCCACCTCTCCTGCCTGGTCATCCTCGCTCTGAAAGTCAGCTGAACCCACTGTGGGCTGAATTTCCATCCTGTTACCAGACAGAAACTATTATAGAACACTTTACAAGAAGAAAACATTAGCTGACAAAAATATTTCAGGACTGCAGCGAATGATTATTATAGTTATTCGATTGATTATTCTGACGACTAAACGGAGAAAAAGGTGCTACAGATGTTTCATTTCAAGCTTGTATTATGCAAAATTAAAAATACATTAAAAGATGCAAATGAACAAATAATTAAATTCTTTTTTTTAAATAGTTTCCTCAAACAAAAGATCTGAGGGTGGAATGCAGTTCATATCAAAACAGCAGCTCTGGGAAAGTTTTCTGACATCTTGCTAGAAATTCAAGCAGAAACTTTCCACAAACTCAATGGATGCAAGAATTGTGCAGGTTACATCAAAGAAGGGTTTCTATGTTAACATATAACTCAGCCAGTTAAGGTGTTTCTGATTAAAATAGCTTTGATTTTAGTACGTGACCACTTGATGCTGCACATTCAAAGAATGACCAGTTGCAGACCTTTATTATCCATAAAATGTTTAGAAAATCCGCTGTGCATAATAATTTGGAACAGTGCATTTTGAGTTTTTTTATTTTTGAAAAGAATACTGTTCTCATGCGGAGCTTTGTTCAGTAAAATTTGATTTATACTGTAATAGTTCATGACTTGAAAATTATACTGACCATTTGCATTGACCATTTAAGAAAATCTGAGAAAATATAACTTGCATAATAATTTGGAACACGGTGTAACGCTTTTCAAAGATGTATAGTTGTAAGTGCCTATCTGTTTGCAGCCATTTTCATGTGAGTACAAACAGAGCCCTAAAACAGTTCATTCTGAAAGGCGCTCAGAATGAACAAACAGAACTGAACAGATTCTAATTTCATTTACTAAAATTGATTTTGTGCAAAAAATTTAATGAACATGTTTTGTATAGTCATAATCTGCTCAAGGAAGCATGATAGATCACTTTTAAAATAATATTCGAAAGTTTCCTTCCAGGTGTAATCAAATATTGTCAACTTTTTCCTAGGTTCATAGGAATACATGTTACCAATAGAGCTACTGCAAGTCTCATCTATTGAAGACTGCGAAGCGAAAAACTTACCTGAAGGCATCCTGGTCGTCCTCTCGATGATCAAGGTTGGATGGGCTGAAGTCAAACTGAGTGCTGATTGGACTAGAGACGCTATCCTGGTGTTCTGCAGCCTGCAGGCCATCACTGAGTCTCGACTGGACGTATAATGGAGAGACACCTGCATGGAAAAGGCCAAAAAAAAAATATATAAAAAGCATAAAAACCATGTGGTCCATGGATTGGGTTGTGAGCTTCTGTTTTATTAAATAATATCACAGTTTTTCATTAACCAGGTAACATTAACTTTAGCATTGATGCAACTGCTGTAATCTTCTGTAACTCAGAAAATTACAAGATTTCTCAAACCTGCAAATGAACAAGAAGTAGGGAAATCTTACTAGAGTCTGTTTCTTGTCCAGTCGAGTCGGCGGAGCTGGGACCCAGGGAGGCGGCAGAGATGGTGGACTGTGTGCTGGTGTCTGACCCCTGGCTGAGCTGATTGGCTCGGCTGCGTCCAGGGTTCGAGGCAGGATGGTCGGCTGGTTCAGGAATGACGAAGGCCGGCTGAGAGAACTTTGGAGAGCGCTGCTTATTGAGCTCCACAGACTTAGCCACTGCACAGAGACGACACATGCAAACAAGTAGAATTGCAGCATTTTTGTACATATTAATAATTACAGTTAATGAGACCAGTAAAAAAGTTTTTCCCTACCCAAAGTGGAGTCCACTCTGCTTACACGTCGAGGATGAACAAGGATGTTGGGAAACCGAGGCTTCTTCCAATCACCATCTTTTTCAGGTTTGCTTCCTCTCTATGTGCAAAACAATAAAAAATAAATAAATAAGCGTACGATCATAAGACTGTTGAATGAAATGGTGAATTTACTTTGTTCACTGAATCAGTGAAAATTATGAGAATGAGGAGGCTGTACTTTAATCTTGGGCAGGAAGGTGATGCGTGCACGCTTTTGTTCAAGACCGCGAGGCTCCTTCACTTTCACCCCAAGATGCTTCATGTAGGTCAGAATCACATACTGCATAGCTTGGCTGCACAAATTAGATTAAAAAAAACACAATATTAGGTAATATACGAATATCAAGTGCTGTGAAAAAAAATAATTGTATTCTTAAATACTGTTTTTACTGTTTTGACACTTAAATGTTTCAAATCATCAAAGATAAGCAGAGTAAATACAGAGCCTTGTTTTCTAAGTTTATGAAATTATGTTTTAATCAAAAACCAAGAAAAACACATTTATTTAATTCTTGTTTTATAGCGCAAGTTGTTTTTCTGATAGTAGGGTCCAAAAACATATGACTAGAAGCTCAAAATGTCTAAAATTTTATTTTATGTTAAAAAAAAACCATAACTATATAGTAACTATAAAAAAAGACCAAAAAATGGTCCAGTTTTTTAATATCCCTAGTCACCTAATTCTGTGACTGTTGTAGCTGCAATGTGACTGTAGAGACTGCTTTTTCTTCTGCAGAAAGAAAAAGCGGAGGAAAAAGCAAGAGACAGAACAGTAGAGCAAGGGATAGAGGGAACAAACATTCCACCAGGTGTTAGCAAATTGCTGCTGCCACTAGTCTGGAGGAGCTGAGTGTGGGAGTAACGGTCTGTGAGGCAGAAGCTTCGCTACAGACTGCAGGTCTGAGGAGAATCTTTGTGTAAATAGGCAGCATTTTGTGAGAGCAAGCGCTTGCAACCCCGGAAAGGTTGCATTCCAGATACATTTTTTGACGAGGGAATAACCTTATATAATAATGCAAAGCTAAAAATTAGTTCATTTTACATGATAGCCCTCATTAAAAACCATTGATTTCTGTTAATTCAGATAATTTGTGTAATATTGAAATATTTTTGTTTATCTCAAGCATTTCAGTGTGATAAAAAACTGAAGAAATCTAAATAACTTCCAATAAAACACTCATTTCTTTTCATTTTTCTTCTGCAACAATTTAGTTAGAATTAAAAGTGCTTCTGCACAGTACTATAGACAAATATCTACAAATGCAGCACAGGTATTTATAAACAGGCATGTCATACATAACAAGATAAAGTTTGTAGCGCTTCAATTAGAAATGAAAAAGCAGAACAGAAACTAAGATACTTCGCAAAAACGAGATTTATCTGACTGCCCAGCAGCTGACTAATGATGCATGAAAAGAAAAAGTCCCTGTTCTCACCACTTCTCCTCTTCGGAGGCTTGAGTCGTCGGCCTGCAACACCACACACACACACACGCACGCACACATTAACATCTGAGGATAAATGAGTGTTTTTTTATAGAGTTTGCACTCAGACACTCACAGGATATCCTCAATCTTGGCGAGGATGTGTTCTGCACAGGCGCATTCCTTCTCCATCGCCAGCTGGTCTTTCCCCCGCTCCCAGTCCAGCTTAGACAGCTCGTCTTCAGCCAGGGTCAGACCCATGCTGCGCTTCTGTCTGCAGCGCAAAGACCATCGGTTTAACTCCTTCTGTATCGCTGAGGGAAACCTTTCCATTTCTCCCGTGGATGTTACCTGAAGTCCTCCAGGTTCTTGAGGAGATCTGTCAGAAGAGAGTCTTGTAACACCTGAGTGTATTGTTTACACAGATCCTCTGGGATCAGCTCCAGCCGTCGCTTCTCTAAAACACAAACAACCAACAAGAACCGTCAACAGTCACATCAGTTAGGTTGTACTTTCACAGAAAGAACTGATGAGGTTAGAACATTTAATAAAACTTTTGGGAAGAAAATGCACTCGTCCATTAGGGAGGCAGCATATTTAATCAAATATTATGAAAAATTAAATTTTTGTACATTTTGGTACTTTTGTTTTGGATTCCACTTCTTCTAAAAAATAACCAAAGCTTTAAAAAAAACACCCAACTGTTTTTTGGCATTAAGTTTATGTTTTGAATTGTCACTTTGCAACCCAAGTCCAGCCCCATTAACTAGTAACACAAGCTGAGCTGCAGTATGTTTGGTCAGTTGTTTTTACAGCTGTATATGTTGTATAATGGCTGCTGGAAAAAAAACAAGTGTTTAATTGTTGACTTGCCATCCAGAAACCACTTGCTGCATTCTTGTGTGTCGTGCAGGAGGCACCAGTTCTGCTTTTCCAAGATGTATGATTGTATAATTACACATCTGTTGAAGGAATTCTCAGGAGTGAGTGTAACTGTTGAGCTGGGGGTACGGTCAGAAGCTACTTACTTGGATTTAAAGTGACAAGATGCCCTAAAACAGCTCTTTCTGAAAAGAGCTCAAAATAAGCAGAACTGAGCAGACTCAAATCTCATTATCTAAGAATAATTTTCTGCAAGAAAACTGTAATAAGCATGTTTTGTGTAGCACATATACTTACCTTAACCTGTTCAAGGAAGCATCATATGTCTCCTCTAAACTCCAAAAAGTGGATTTATGATTTACCAAGGAGGAAATTACAAATATTCCAGTTTATTGCAATTGTGAGATCACAAAAATTAATGCAAAAATCAACAGATCCACACAGTTTTCTTCACAAATCGATAATTTTGATATTTATTGCAAATTTTCCACAAAAATGATGAAAACACTGAGTGTTTTTATCTACACACTGGTGTATTTTTATTGTCAGCTAACTCCCACCTGCAGGAGGCAGTATTTCTTACTTCTACTACACTGCTGCCTCTGCCCGACTTGGTGTAAAGTTATAGTCTGATCGTAACGTAAAGTGACCTATTGAAGTTCTTTAAAAATGTCTGTCTGCTTGTTATTTTCTCATATTTTTTCTTCTGTAAGTAGATTTTGGAAGAGGTTTAATGAGTAAAAAATATTTCTAAAGTAGCTCCACAAAAACAGTGATTTTGATTGCAAAACAATCACAAAAAAGCTTATAAGGACTTGAATTATGTAGCTGTAAAAAAAATGTGTCATCTTTGGCCTCGATTTAATGTGCTGATTTTTCTAATATCTGCCTATTTTAACAGTTTAAACATTAGATATTCTTTAATATGCATTATATCAATGTTTGGTTCCCTTACCTAATTCTGCTGCTATTGTGTCAGGAACTGGTACTTTTAGATTCTGGAAAAGACAAAAATGTAAATGAGCAAGAATTATGTCAACAAACCAGAGAAATAACATAGAAAAAAGGAGAACAGAGATTAAACTTACTGCTGTTCTATCTAAGAAGAGGGAGTGGAACTCCATAAACAGGCGTCGACTCTCCTTGGAGCTGGTTTGTTTGTGCATTTCTGCATAGAGATAACAAAGCTGACAGGGAAGAAAACACTGCGTGAGTTTTAATTTATCCCACTTTCCAGCCTCAATTAAAACAAAAAACACATTATGTGGTCAGGAAACAGCCTTTCTCCATTAATAATGGTCTCCCAGAAGGCTTTATATACGGTACACTTACTTTTATAAGAAAATTTTTGTTTTTTCAATATCTCTGTTTAATTTGTCAAACCGGATTTTGTTTTCCAACAGTAAACCCTGGAGTTTAAAAGATGTAATCCACACATTAAACTGAACAGTCCATGAAAATCATCACAATAGGTCAGATTTCCAGATTCCACCAAACAAACAAATTTTCTGTGTTCAGGAAATGTTTCAATTTTGACAATTTGTTATTTCAATTTCAATTTAAAATGCCTTCAGGTTGTTATTTTTGGAAGATTTGGTTATATTATGCGCACCTCTTTATGTTTAAGCATCACAAAGTCATGCCCCACAATACTTTTAAAAATGTTTTCCGTTAATTATGGAGACCCAAGACGATACATATGTATATAAACAAATATTACAAACAGTGAAATCGTTTAGTCACACAACTTATACATGATTACTAAGGCATTTATGTAATCATTTTTCATTCATGGTGCTATATTCAAACTGTCACATGATTGAGCTAATCCTTCAGCAGGTTTACCTGCAAACCAATCACCTTGTAAAAATCAGTGCTAGACCCGGTTCGGCTGACAGAAACTCATAATATTCTGCAACACAGTTTTATAAAATTATGATAATAATATCAATAAATAAATTAAAATTATTATATTAAAAAATTACAAATATATATCTACAAAAGACTTTGATGTGCAGTGAAGACAAATGTAGATCTTTTTTTCACATTTACTTATGTATTTAACAAATTGATTACTTGTTGAGTATTCTTAATCTACTGTGCAAAGTGTGTATTTATAGTCTTATTAAATTATCACATATATTCATATATTTACTTATCTAGTTTATTGATTTGTTGCCCCTTTGGATGATCAACATATGGAAGGAAACTTAAACATTTACAAACAAACATTGCAAATTCTTCATCAAGTTCCTTGGTAGGCATTTGGGAAATAATACAAGATATTCAAGAAGCAACAGGGAATTGACATTATAATTTCTCTTACTTTGCATTTCAGAAAGGCTTTGAGAAGTTAAAGTTTAAAGTTCTGAAATTTGTTGGCATTTGGAAAATTATTAGTTTATTCTTAAGAAAAGTTTTTCTAAATCATACACTTGTCAGATGAATTACCATTTAAAGTTGTGTCTCTTTATGCCTTAATTTTCTAATCAATTATTGACATTATTGTCAATGTTCTGAGCAAACAACTGCACACAAATAATAGGTAAGGCAGTGATCTGTGTTTATGAACGTACCAGAGGAGCAGCCTCGAACTGGGACACCACATGATGGAGGAAGACAGCCAGATGAGCCGGTCGAGACTTAAGCAGGTCAATACTCTGAAAACAGCTGCACTCGCCGTTAATCTGAGGACAGTAATATGTTCATCACATAAGCATGATGTGGTTCATTTTTCTGTGAAAATTAAAAACAGGTTGTTAAAACTTTACCTGTTCTTGTTGATAGTCAAAGTAGTCGTCCTCCGCTCCGATTATCTGGGGGTTTAGGGTGTATGGAGGGCTTGCCACAGAAGAATGAGGACTGCAGTCCTAATTGACACATTCAAGAAGAAATACTGGGTTAAAGATTGTAAACACAAACAAAAAAAAAATAAAAAAAATAGGCAGAAGTAGTTTGTGTCATACCACAACTTAAAGGTTTCTTTGTGGAATTTGTAGGTAACTCTCCACAGCTTTTTTCTGATTATTGTAGGTCACTCACTTTCTGAAATACAGTGGTAACTTTCCAACAATTTCATGGAACCTGAAAATTCATCCATTGATCTTACAGGTTACTCTCATCAAACTTACAAAGAACTTCAAGGTTTTGATTTTGAGCCCAATTGTAACTCTAGAGAGGTCGGGTACATGGTTCTATTTCTGGAATTTACCACAAATGTTGTTTTTCTCCTGACAGGTTACTTACTGTACATTTCACATTCCCTGGTATTATAAATGACTTTCCAGTACATTCACAGAATTTGAAGAGCACTTTCTAAACTAACAGATAGTAGTTCTTTTCTCGTAACTTATAAGATCCTGTCCAAAATTTTTGCTCACCTTGCAAGTTACATTTTGGTGTTACAGATTACATCTTAGTTACTTTCCTATAACTTACAAGTTACTTTTCAGAACTTCACACTTATATTCCAGAATGTTCACTCAATTTGTCAATTATATTCTATCCTATTTACTTACTAATGATTTAAAAGCAACATTACCGAACGCTCGCTAAACTTAATGGTTACATCCTAGAACTTTTCACATAACTTACAAGTTACTTTCCAAAACTTATGCGTTATATTCCAGAACCTCCATAGAACTTGCAAGTTATATTCTGAACTAAAAGGTTCTTTTTTACTTACTTTAACTTAAAAACTTGAATGTTTGGTGAACTTGCTAGTTACATTCTGAATTCACAGGTTATATCCAAGTTATTTTCTCAAAACATTAAAGTTACTTTCCAGAACGTACATATTATAGTCCAGTCTGTGAGCTAAACTTGCAAGTTACATTCTGAACTAATAGGTCACCCTCTAGTCACTTTTCCACAATACATGGGGTTCCTTCTAGGACTCGAAACTTTATTTTATAAGTCATTGTAATAATGAATGGATTCTAAGGATTACAAGTAACTGGAAAACACAGACTACACTCTGTAAACCTTAAGCGCTTACAGGTTGTTTTTTTTTTTAATCAAATTTAAGAGGGACTAACAAGTAATGTACAGGTCACATTCCAGAACATTGAGGTCGCATTCTAGCTACTGTCCCATAACTTGAAGGTTTCTTTTCAGAATCTTGGGGTGACATTCAAGGAATACAGACATTAATTGATAGATATTATCAATAGCTTGCAAGTTACTTTCCAAAAAAATACATAACAGTACTTTTCCAGAAATGTAAAGTTTCAGGAATCATGTAAATTTTGTGGGACTAACTTGTGAACAAGACATGAGGATTTATAATGTTTTTGTTAACCAAAACTCAGCTAATTTGTGTTATTTCACTTTGAAGTAGGTAAAACAAGTTTCAGTGTCTCCATAAAACTTTCATGTCAAATTCAGAATCTTCAGTGGTTTACAGTTTAAGAAAATGAGTGACTTTCAGCAACACAAATTTTTTGGTTCGGATTTTCCTTATATTTTATTGTTATGAAATTTTTTTTGTAAGACAAATAAGAAAGGAGAGTGCATAAACATTCAGACCTTTATGTGTACTGGCCACCCAAACTACTGTTTTTGTGTGGTTATGTAGTGTTGCCAGGGCAAACCCAGGAAAATAATTAAGCATCAGTCTGCATCACTCTTATCCCACTAATCTCTGCTCCTAATTGTTGCTGCCGATGTTTGAGCTGTAGCCTTGCAGAGCAGAGTTGCTGTTTCTTTTGGAGCTTGGCAGTGTTTGATCACTTCACTGGAGCTGACTAATTAGGGCACACTGTGGGCTTTTCGGAAGGGGAGTAGGCTCCCTAGGTCCTGCTTTTACAGGAAGTGTGTAAATATGCAGAAGCAAATAGTACTTCCCTGGAGATTTTATGGGAACTTTCAGTTTCCTGATGTTTATATGCAGTCTGTACTAATGGTAGTCATCTAATTCTGTCTGACTTTCTTTTGCCTTTCTCAAACGCCCACAAAGCATTTTGCACATCTTTCTGTAGATGTGAGTAATTTACATTCCTAGTTTAAATTGAAGAACTAAACTATCTAAAGTTCATTTAAGTTTCATTTATTTTTGAGTACCACTGCAGAAAAAAAGTGTATTACTCAATAAAGTGCACAACACTAAATTAATGTTAAAAAAAATTTCTGCTAAAAATGATACTCAGAAGGTTGAAGAATTACTTTCACATTTTCCTTTTTAATTGCTAATATTCTTTAAAACAGGTATAGTTTTTTGTTACTAGTGGTTTTTGATAAACCCAAACTAATAAGCCATATCTGTTGTACTTCCCACTTTTCACAATATCAGAATTTTCTGAGACATTAAATTTTGAATTTTCATTATCTCTAAGTCGCAGTCATAAAAACTATATTAAATAAAGACGTGATGAACCTATATGTAGATGAAATTCACTTTCTGAAATGAGTGACAAAACACTCAGGCCATGACATTTAAGTTTTTTTATTTTTACATTGGGAAACAATCAATCCTGTATTAACCTTTAGATTCCCTGAAATAAGCTGCTGGTGGCCACGTCTCCAACCTCAACATTTACACTTGCAAGTGAAAGTGGCTGCAAACTGATGAGCATTTATACAATCGTACATTTTGAAAAGCAGGAGTGGAGGCTTCTGCACAAACAACAAGAATGTAGCAAGTGGTATCTGAATGGTAAGTCAACAACAAAATACTTGTCTTTTCCAGCAGCCATCAGGATGGCTGCTGGATGTGTATGTGTAAACTCATGCAGTAGGACCAGCGGACCAAAAGTGGAACTCAGCGTGGGTTGCTAGGTAATGTTCAGTGCTTTGTTGAGGATGCTAGGTGGCAGACAGTGCCTGCTAATTTTTTAAGTTAAATGTGGAATGTTTTTGAAATGGATAATTTTCGAGACACCAATAAAAACTACAGAAGACAGATAGATGGTTTTTAAAGCGGATGGGACGTTCTTAGAAGCAGTAGACACCCAAATAAAAAATGTGCAAAATGTGAATTTTGTCAAATTAAAACAAATAATAAAAATACTCCAACTGTTGTTGAATTCCCTTGCAACTCAGCCTTAAGAAGACTCTCAGTAATACTGGACATGTATTTTCAAAGGTTGATTTTTAAAATCACAATTGGGTCAAGATGGAGAAGGAGATGGGAAATGTGTGTATGTATGTGATGTATGTGTGTGAGAGTAAATCTTACAGTGTCAGGAGCGTCTTCAGTGTCAGGGGACGAGCAGAAATTCAGGTCATCTCGGCGGCTAACGTCCGGACTCTGAAGTGGCGAGTCTCTTTTTCCAGACGCCTGTGGAACGGGAGTGCTGTGCGTCTAAAGCACATACACAAACACACACGTATCACGACACGTAAAAAGCACCAGAGCTGAACCCAAGTGATTGTTTAGTCTGGTGCTGAATACTGGGAAATTCCCCAGAGATTGCTAAGTAGGACCATTGCATCTATTTTTAGATGCAGTGATAAAAGGGTTTTTATGATAAAGGAGTTTGTGTAAGCAGTGTTAAGCTTCAGAGGGGCTTTAACTACAGCTTGTTACTAACATTAGTTCTTGGCCAGCTGAGGCACCTTTTTAAAAAGTCACGCTTTAAATCTGTAGCAGAGATTGAATCACCAATGTGCCTCTGAACTTTGTCCTAAAACACTTCAGTGCAGAGCAAGAAAGAGAACGTTAACATATAGAAAAAGTATTTTTCAAATTTTATTCTCCTTCAAAAAGTACTACTCAGAATGAAAATTATTAAGGTCATTTTACTTTATCATGTCATTAATTGATTAATTGCTTATTGTGACAGGCTTATATTTACACACTACAATATGTTACTGATTTATTTCCAGTTACAAGCTGTACTTACAGCATTGCTGTTGATAGGTGACGCTTCTTCACCGGTCTGTTCCTTCAGGAGAGTCCCATCATCTCGTTCATCTTCATCACAAATCCTGGACCCCGAAGCTCCTTCCTGAAATAATACAAAGTGAAGCAGCAACTTCCACTAATGTGAAATATGTGTTGTCATTTATTGCCTGAAATTAATTCTCTCTCTCCAGAATTTATTTTATTTTATTCAGATACAGACAGTTGGGTTTTTTCAATCCCACTTTTACAATTTTAGAAGTTGTTCTTTCTCTGTTTCATTTCGTTCATGATAGGTCAACTACATATATTATTCAGTTGTAATTTTAGTTTAGTTGGGTGACAGTAACTTGATTGAGTAATAGCAGTGCAGTAGGTCTGGAGCAGAGTTGGAGAGTAACTATGTTACATTTACTTGAGTAACCTTTTGGAAAATATGTATTTTAACAAAAATAAAATCACACATGACTAGGTTTGTTCAAGCGATAAGTAATTTAAAAAACATGCCACGGCCTCATCCTCCAGTGAATTTCTGTCGTCTTACTTGTCTTTTCTGCCAGCAGTAACATCTGGTTGTTGATCACATGACGTGATGCGAAAAAAAGTTTTTTCTTTGTGGTTTTATGATATACACTAATTTTGATGCAGCAAAAAAACACCTCATCCTAGTGCAAAAACTTTTTTAATCAAAAAATGTTTTTTTCAAAATTGCCATGTTTCCATCAAGCAAATTCATTTTTATAATTCCAATTTGCACAATTATATGGTGAATGGAAATGTAGCTACAGTCATACAGTTCCCTAAAACAGATCTTATCTTCACGTTTATCATTATCACAATAGTACTGCCAAATATTGTGATAAAACTAATTCCAACTTGAGTACTGTTTCTGGATAATCTGGTCCGTGGTCTTACCCCATCAGACAGAGTGCAGTTATTGTGGTTCTGGGGGCTCCCACTCAAAGAGCTGCTCCGCTCCATGCCGGACAGTGCAGGTGAGTTGGGGGCTGAGAGAGGAAGAGGCAGGCTGACTTCTTCATGTTGTTCCTGCTCCTGCGCCTCCTCCAGAGGCATTTGAGAAAGGCCTGGAGGCCTCCCCAGCACCGTTAGCGCTACATAGGAACCCGCTGAGAGACAGTGAGGAAAACATCTGATCAAACCTTTAACAGTTAAAGGTTAAAGGTTATGTAGAAGTATCTGTAACTTGGTTCACCTTTAAAATGAACAATGTCTATATCGTATCACATAAAGTGGTTTATATAGCTGTAACGTGCTGAAGGTTTCCTACATGCTTAAATATATATGAACTTCTCAGGGGTAACTGAATATTTAGCATCACACTAAGAAATAACTAGAGCTGTTTGTTTGATTGACTTTATTCTAAGAATAGTTTTTCTGTGGAAGGGGATTAGGGCATCAAAAAAAAAAAAAAATTCTAACTGAGTTAGACTTTTTCTTCCGAATTTTTTGTTCTGGAATTCTGACTTTGAACTCAGAATTCTAATTCTGAGTCAATATGTGTCAAAATCTAAGTAAATAACTAAATACTCTTAGGAATATGTCAATTATTTTTGTTGCCTGTCTCAAATTGTTTTGGTAGATTTGAGTATTAAGACTCAAATAGTGCATAAACCAGTTAAAAGCCAGAATTTTATTTTTTTTTTGTCAGTGGCCCTAATCCTCTTCTGTCGTTTTCTCAAAGGGTCATCATAGAAAGGAAGTAATAGGACAATAATAGAATAATAATAATAGAATCAAGTTTACATAAGATAACACAAGCCAGTCATCACATCACAACTGTTGCTTTGACCACATTTCTAGCAAGTTTATAGTTTAAATGCAAAGAAATTCACGAATATGAGACTTATACTTACATTTTATTAACTTTACAACCTCTTTGTGGTTTGAACGAGTAACTAAAGTCCCGTTAACCTGTTGAATAAGAAAAAACTAAGAATTAATTTCTGAAAGTGCTGACTCTGGTGTGCATGCAGATGCATTGTTGATGCAATTACACATATATCAACTGAAGACACGCTATAGATTTTAGCATAAAGCATAACAGTGGAATAAAAATGCCGGGGCAATAAGGCTTTTTTGTTTCTCCATTCTTGTCCAAAGTGACATCATTTGAGGTGGAAATCAATTATTTCAGCAACATGTTGAATGAAATAACCAGACTCAAAGTTTCCTTTGTAAGATAAATGTTCCCGACTTTGATTAGCCAAAACAATTGAATCAAATGAGGCAGCATTTAGATTTGAACATAAAAAAGTGTTTTGAAGAACAGAGCTCAGGTAGGTTCATAAAAAGTTTGACATGCAAGAGATTTAAAGAAAGAACTAATTCTAATTTCTTACTTACTTTCACCATTTTAAACAAGTTGTTACTGGGCTGTTTTTTCAGCCCAGTAACAACTGCTGTCAAGAAAAAATAAAGAAATAAAATTCATGAAACTAAGAGTAAACATTGTCCCATGTTTAGACAGCAACATATGAACAGAGTTTACCTACATTTTGTGATTTCATTAAAAGATAAAAGCACAAAATGGTAGTATTAAAAGGTAGTTGTCAGGCTAATAACATTAATACCAAGTTAATGCTAATCTTTCATCTACTAATATAAGTTATTCTAAGGAGGAAGTCATGTAAAAACTGCATGCAAACGTTCATGGCTCTATAAAGTGTTTGGACACAAATAGCTTAAATACAAAATAAAAAGAAATAAAAGCAAAAGTTGCTTATGTTAAGCTAACACTACTGCTAGACTAACACAAGCTAAAGCTAATTTATCTAGTTTGTAACTGTATTTCAGTATTTTAGATAAGCTGCATTCAAATGAAGGAAATTAAATACAAATTAAACAAAACAACAGTAATAACTGTACTACCTTATAGTGCATACATTAAATAGTTGAAAGTGGAAAAAGTGCTCAGCTAATTGAAAGCTAATAATATTCTGTTCCAAGTCACTTTAAGAAATTTCAAATAAGTTGCCTGTCTGAAATGCCTTATTAGACTGAAATCTATTTTGACACACATACAATGTAAATAGTTTAGTTGGGTTTTCCTAAATCATCCATCCATGATGGCTGGGGACGAAAAGCCTGTTTCAGAACGTAGAGAAGGAAAATGGCTTAAAGTGACGCATGACGCCCACCTTAATGATCCGATCTCCTGTTTGGACACCGGCTCTCATTGCAGCTCCATCTGCATCAGAAAAACAAGCAAAGTGAGAGATGCTGCTTTTATAAATGTGCTGCAATAATGTTTGTCTACATCTCCTCCAGCCTTACCTTCCTTCACCAGCTGCACAAACACAGGGTTGTCTCCACTTACTGTCAGACCAAAGCCATTTTTATCTCTTTGGATAATCACACAGCGCTGGACCAGACCTGCCATTTTTAAAACAAAAGAATTAAAAATTGGGACAAATGCTACAAAAGCCTCTAAAATTAAATTATATATATATATATATATATATATATATATATATATATATATATATATATATATATATATATATATATATATATACATATATATATATATATTTAAAAAATCTATCCTGGATGTAGCTGAGATCCCTGTTTTTTGGGGTTTTTTTGTCCCTGTGGTCTGTTGGTGTTACCGATTGGAATAAACCGCTCGGCCCCAAGAGGAGGAGTTCAAGTATCTCAGGATCTTGTTCACGAATGAGGGAAGAAGGAAGCGGGAGATCGACAGGCTAATTGGCGCAGCATCTGCCGTGAAGCGGGCGCTGTACCGGTCCATGGTGGTGAAGAGAGAGCAGAGTCAAAAAGCGAAGCTCTTGATTTACCAGTCGATCTATGTTCCCACCCTGATCTATGACCATGAGCTTTGAGTCATGACCGAAAGAACAAGATACCGGATACAAGTGGCTGAAATGGGTTTCCTCTGTGGGGTGTCTGGGCTCTCCCTTAGAGATAGGGTGAGAAGCTCAGTAGTCCCTCGAGGGACTACTGACTCTACTCTGAGTCCCTCAGGAGGGACTCAGAGTCTTTTCAGGATGGCTGATTTAGGAAAACCCAAATACCCAACTCTGAGTCCCTCAGGAGGGACTCAGAGTAGAGTCAAATGAGGGACTCTGAGTCCCTCAGCAGTAGAGTCACTGCTCCTTCACATCAAGAGGAGCAAGATGAGGTGGCTCGGGCATCTGGTCAGGATGCCTCCTGGACGCCTCCCTGGTGGGATGTTCTAAGCACATCCCACCGAGAGGAGACCACAGGGAAGACCCAGGACAAGCTAGAGGGACTATGTCTCTCGGCTGGCTTGGGAACGTCTTGGGATTCCCCCGGAGGAGCTAGAAGAAGTGGCTGGGGAGAGGTAAGCCTGAGCCTTCCTTCTGAAGCTGCTACCCCTGCGACCCGACCCCAGATAAAGCGGAAGAAAATGCTGAGCCTTCAAAGACACCAAAAAAGATTGGAAAGTCGGCCTAAGTAAAAGGCCGACTTCTTGTTGGGACTAGACAAACTTATCCAAGCATCTTCACAGGTCTGCCTCGGAAATCAATCAATCAGCTCCAGTTGATCCAGAATGCTGCAAAATGTTTTGGATCTATGACCTCATTCCCATCTATGATCTCATTCCCATTTAGTTTTCTAAAATTATATATTTTTTGGGGTCTGTAAGAACTTTTGATCCGACGATTTTGGCCCACATGACAGAAAGTTTGGACACCCTTGCTCTAAACCACAGATGTCAAACTCCAGTCCTCGAGGGCCACTGTCCTGCAGTTTTTAGATGTGCCACAGATACAAAACACAGGAATGAAATGGCCTAATTATCTCCTCCTTGTGTAGATCAGCTCTCCAGAGCCTTGCTAATCATCTAATTATTCTATTCAGGTGTGGTGCAGCAGAGGCACATCTAAAAGTTGCAGGACACCGGCCCTCCAGGACTGGATGTTGACTTACAAGCATACAAGTCTGCTGATAAAAGCAAGTGTCTAAACTTCCTTAAATCTACAATATAACGATTAAGAAAATATTATTTGGACAAACTAGAGCAACTGAAGGATTTCAGTTATAGAGACTCCTGTGAGAGAGCTGAGTGGATAATTGGTTGTCTTCTGGACTCCATGAGAAGCCTCAAGACTTCAGGGTGAACAAAAGGGCAGGAAGGATTAATGTCAACCTCGTAACCCTGGCAACCACCCTAACAACGGGGCCAACACTTACAGGGTCTCTGCACATCTGCACAACAACACAGTCAAATACTGACAGATTTTTCATTTCATTATTCAAACTAAAGAGACGGTGGGAAAAGTGCAACGAGCCAATTCTTTCTTAATAAAGTGAGCCGTTAAAGTAGAGTACAGAAAGATGTCTGTCTCACCTGTTGGGTCAAACTCGTGCTTAAGAGGATTTCCCATGCTTTCTATTTTTATCTGTGAGAATGCTCTGGGTCCTGTGAAGAAAAGACGACAAATGAGAGAGAGAAAAAAAACAGACAGAAACAATGTTTTGATTTTTTCACAAATTAAGGCTGTTTTCACACCTTATAATCCAGTGGACTTGATTTGATTGGGGACCAGAATCACAACATTCATGATATTTTCAGCTGTTGTGGTTCACTTTTACACTGCACTGGGTTTGGTTTGCGGGTACCCAACCAACCCAATACTTTGATTATGCTGTCAAAAATCTGTTTCCAAGTGTCTCTTATCAACAAAAGAAGACAAGAAATTAGAACCTTATTGCATTTTATCCACCCTACATAGAAAGTGAGCTCAATCTTTCTGACTTTTTAATGATGTAATAACAATTTAAATGCATGCTTTCTCTTGAAATGCAGTTCCCATAAAACACTCACTGTACATTCTGTATAGGCACTGCAGAAAATACAATAGTTAAATGTTTTTAAAGTTTTTAATATTTCTTAGCAGATCAAATTTACAAAGATTTTCTGTGCCATGAATGTATTTTTTAAAAACAGTTTTAGCTTAATTAGTACTCGGTGTGTTCTTTCATCAAATGGTCTTCTTCAGAGTCTGTATACGCCATTTAATGAATGATTACATTAGTTGACAATTATTTTAACAATTGGTTAGTCACAATTGGATTAATCATTTAAGCCCTACAAAACAATATACTATGATTTCCTGTCTGAATTACCTGATAAAACCTTAATTACACTAACAAGTACCTGAACATCTCCATGCTCGTCTAATTTGTTGTTTAACCTTTGTGACAATTTAAAGGTGGAGGTTCATTTATTATTAGCAGAGGCTCCTTCTCTCTTCGTTCCCCTTTGCTGCTGCTGTGTCTCGTTCCAAAAGGAGGGGGGGGGGGGGGGGGGGTATTTTGTTTGTCCAGCAGCTCCTCCCTGGACAATGGGGGCCCTGGACTTTAAACAATGGCTCCCACGTCAGAGCCTGCTTACTATACGGAGACTTTGTGGGACAGATTCCCGGAAACAGCGACCAGGGTTTTTGGCACAGCTTCAGCTTCCTGAACATGGGAGAAGGCTGCGAAATAAAATGGAGGGGAAGGAGGTGTTTGTGAGGAAAGGCCAAGGGCTATGCTGTGGAAATTTTAACAAAGCTTGCAGAGTGAAGGATCCTGTCTGAATGCAGGAAAGTGAAGGGAATGAACAAAATGTTGAAACAACAGATTCAGGGAATTAGAACGATTTTCCTTTGTGTTTAGACTAAACATTAAGCAAATGTTTAGTCTGGATTTTAGCCTCGCAATCATAGGCAGAACCAAGCTCATGTTGGATCGGGACATAAAAAGGTGGTGACCTCAAAACTGAAGAGAGGCTCCTTGCTATGGCTGGAGAAGATCAGAAACTGATAAGAGAGGCAGATAAAAGGACCGATGACATCCTGCTCAGTGGGTGGCGGCTAGTGGAGCAGCGTCCAAGACATGAAGGAAGCTTCCAGATTCATCCATTCATCTGTTTCAGGGTCTGCAACTTGCAGGTCCAGAGCTGTAAGAGGCTTTTAATAACTTTGGTAAAAATGTAACAAAAAAAAACAAAAAAAACAACTTTAGGGTGGATTCTACTTTTTATCACTTCTGATATCTGAGGTTTAGTATCGACTGATACCTGATCCAATACAGACAAACAGTACTGAATTGACTTAAAACATTTCTATTTTTAAACACGGACGCAAATGTACTTACAAATTTATAACTCTGCATCAGTACACCACTATTAAATAGATCAATAGCTTTACAAGTTTGAAACATGTAAGAACAACATAATTTGTTCAGCCACTGCAAAATAAATAATTGACGAAGACAAGACGTTGACTTGAGCTTGGTTGACTAGATTATTACAATTATTTTGAAAAATAAACCTTTTTCAAGAGGTTCAGAAAGTGTAATTAGGAATTCTAAATATAATGTAAAATAAATAATGAAGCATGGCGTCACTCAGAGCATAAAGACAGAATAGATCTGGATCAAACACAGGTGGTCAAACAAACAAGATAACTTCTGAATACCCAATCTAGAAGGTTTTCAATATCAGGACCGATACAGATATTAGTATCGGATCAGTGCACTATACAATCTAATAACAAATGCCGATTTTAGCAATTTTTCAGATTTTTTGGTGGGATAATTGCATTAAACATCCAAAACAACCAGTCATATCTTTTAGGTCTTTTTTTTGTTATTTGGTCAGAAACTATGTACCTTTTCAGAATCAGCTTTACAGGCTGATTCTGAAATCAACCTATAAAGAGAAACTATGTCCCTAAACAAGGAATGTTGACTTTGATTTCAAGCACTCACAGCGTATAGACATTAAGCATAAATACCAGACATGTAATGTGGTTGTTTATCTGTTTGGAATAAAGTCAAAGGGTATTAATAGAAGACAGTCCCTAAATTCTTACTCTTGTATGTAGAACTAATAAGATCAGAAATGTTCAATTACTCCCTGAAAAATACAAAAAACAAACAAAAACACAAACTTGCAGAGAAGCAGAATTGAAAAAATAAATAAATAAATAATAACTTAAATATAACTTAAGTGTACTGTAAAAATTAACATGCATGTCAATTCTGCCCCGTTTACTTAATGAATGTTCTTAGATTTAGCTTGTTGGACTTCCAGCTCTCCAGCCGTCCTTCCCTGTTATCATCCCAGAGGAATGCTCTGGTATTTTTGGCATCCGAGGCAGAAAACAAGCAAAGAGAACCAAGTGCAGCAGATGCAGCTGCAGACTGGCATCAGCAATATAACTTAAAGTTCGTAATTATCCATGTTCCAGACTGAATGAAGGACTTATCCTTCAATCTTTAGGACGTTTTTCCTCAAGCATAATAATCATCAAAATGTCCAGATTTGTTCCAGTTGAGTTAATTATATATCATCGTGATTTTATGAAATGTATTGCTTGCCATTTAATATTGGAAAGTTACAACCAGGAAGCTTTAAACTGGTTTGATAAAATCAGAACTGACCGCTTTAAAGTTAAAAAGAATTAACTTTTTTTTTTTTTTCAGGCAGAAGTTCAGGGCAAACGTTTTCAGACCCCCTGTACCGTTTGTCATTTTGTTACTTTACAACCACAAGCTGCAGTATATGGGGGTTAATGTAACAAATCAACACAAAGTAGCAAATAGTTCACAAGTTGAAAGAAAAGTTTGGTTTATTTGGGATTTTTGATTTTATATGGAACGCAGTCCCCACCATGAAACAAAGTGCTGGTTGTCCAACAACAATACTTTAAAAAATAAAATAAAATTTAAAATTAAAATATTACATTTGACTAATAAAAAAGAAAAACATTCTTAATACAGAAATGAAGCCTCAACAACGAATGTTTGAAACCTGGTTAAAGTTTGCCAGTTTTCAAAAGGTTCTTTTAATCTGTCAAATAAGCTTCATTGGAACGGATATTTTTAATTTAATTTTAATATTAAATCATTCAATTTAATAATTTGACATTATTAAATTCAGTAATATTAAATAATAATATCAAATGATGCAAAATGAAGGCACTTCGCATCATTTGATGGTGGAAAAACAAATATCTTTGTTGTTGAGCTCAAATGTCTCCTTCTTCAATAATTCCGCTGCAAAAAGGGTTTTTTAGTTGAACATTTTGCCTATTTTATCTAGGATCCACTTGAAAAAGTTTTTTTAATCTCTTTGGGCGTTTTATCCTTGAAAAATAAAGGTTAAATAAAAAGATATACATGGTTTTGAATAAAAATGTTATTCATTGTTTACAGACCTCACAATTAACTTGATTAAACATTTTAATTGAGTCCCACCTCAAGTTGTAAAATGACAAACTGTGTATTACTTGGATTACTTTTGTTTATTCTTCACAAATTTCTTCACGTCCAAAATTCTTTCCTTTTGTCAGTTTTCTCTCGTTTATTTCTGTCCTTCCAGTGACCTTCAGGCTTCACAGATTGTAATTTCAGTCACGACATTTAACAACAAAGGCTTCTAAAATAAGTAGGAATTGTTGTTTTATTGTGTTTTTGTTGCAAACTGAAGCTGCCTGGTTTGATTGTTGTCTAATTATGGGTTGTCCACTCAGGTCACAGTTATACTAGCGACATAATATGCACAGCAGAAGCAGTCGTGCAGGTTTTTAAATGTCATAGAACAAATAATCAGCTGCATTGTGTCATAAAAAGCAACAGTCATTTCACTAAAAGTTATTTGAAAACATATAGGTTAATAAAATCATGCTACTGTAGTCAAGTGTGCTCATTTCCTTTGGATGGACTTCCTGTGCAGTTTTAGTCGTTCTTATGTATCACAATACGGTGCCATCCCATATTTTCCACAAGAAAATTTTCATATGAAAGTGTGATTTGGATGCAAAGAGCCATGTTTTTTTATTATTTATTTTCTTATTTTGTTTTTAACATATTTAGAGTTTAAAACTTTGCAGTCAATCGATTAAAAGTGTAATCAGTTTAATCAAACTCCGTAAGCTTGAAATATAAAAACATACACAGTTGCAGTTCTTGCAAGAATGGTGCCTCCTTTTGCTGCCCTCCAACCACTTAAAATTGGGCATTATCTGGGTTTTATTACAGCAGAAATATTGCCTCCCAGAACTCAGCAGCAACTAAGAAAATTACACCTCTACAAATGTATACAAGGAGTAGCAAATTTGTTCAGCGGACAACTGACAGATAAGCTATATTTTGTTTTCTAGGCGCTCCACCTTTTTCTGATGCCATGCTGGGCAACTGCCCATGTCAAAAACTCACAATGTATACACATTTTCAGAAAATGTTTTATTATCTCAAACCAATTGTTTCCCTTCATTTCCATTCTTGAGTCAAGCTCAGGGCTTTCCCTAAATACCATGAAGGTGCAGAGGATTAACAGCTAGTTATAAATTAACAGTGAGATTGATTATTAGAGCTTCCCAGAATGAATGTTGACATGTTAACTGACATGACGCGGCTACCATTACAAGC